CCAGCAGAATAGCTGGTGCATTTAATAGCGACATGGCAATGATATCTCCGTTTTCTATGAGAGGAAAATTTCCACTGTGCCAGGACCTAGATTCAGGAAGCTCTGTGTATTTCTTCGTAAGTGGGTTTGCTACGAAGGTTCCTAAGTGCGCCCTAAGAAGATGCTTAGGTGCGATTCACGTACGTCCACTTAGGAAGATATTTGTTGGTTCACCTGCGTGCCGATAGAGGTCACTACTGTGTTTCGTTTGGCCAATCAGAGAGCAGCAACATTCTTCATATTGAAGATTTAGCGCTGGCTTATCGCAGCTCTACTGCCTCCTATTTACGTCGAATTTTCTTATAAAATTAGTATATTTCGAAGTAAAACAATGTTTTTTCAACTTCTACAGCCAGCACCGACATTGTGGTAAACAAATATGTTACATTTGTTGTTTACCTACGTAATTCTAAGAGATACTGTGTAGCTGTCCTTGTTGCTCGGAAGATGCGCTGACAATTATTGTATATATTTACTGAATTTACCCAAGGGCCACTAACTATCTAGTGACCTCGACGAGGACAGAAAGCCGGCGGCTTGTTAAAGGGCCCGCCAATTATCCTAATGAAATTTTCCAACTGGATTTTGGCATTTACGGCTTCAGCGGGTAGGCTGTTCCATGGGTTTATAGCCCTCTTGTTGAAAAAACATCTGTTTTCAGTCCTACTTGAAAGAACATACTCTCCAACACTATATCTGTGATTGTCCTGTTATCAGTGACTTCATACCAAATGGTATGAGGTATTTTGAGCTCTGTAATTACTTCATACACTCAGGAATATTGGAAGATATTCTTGTGCTGCACCCAGATTTTGCCAGTGGAGGCTAATAGATCAGCATTAAGTATTTTGTTCTCTCCTAATTCCATGTATGACTGGCCATCCTGTGAGGTGAGGATGTTGGATGAGCTTGTAGCTGGTTTTTGATCTACACTGTGTGGTCCTTTACACAGAATAGGGAAGCAGCACATTGCTCTGTGTACCTAAGCTTCTTAATAAAAAAATCAGTAAAAATTTTTTTAAATTATAGCTTGTATTATTATTATTACTAGTATTATCCTTATTAAATCATAAATGTTAACCAATGATCATTAAGATCTCATATTGATATATAATGTTAGTAATGTTGACCAAACTACACACTAAAAGATAAAAAAAGATGACAATGTTAATAATATTTCTTTTGAATAATTAAATTGTGCATTATTTCTCAACTTTTTACTTCTTTGGATGTACAGTAGAAAAAATATGATAACCCACAAATATTTGTTTCATTATATTATTTATTTAAATAACTGAATTTAATATTTTTACAGCTGACAGGATTTGTTTTACTCACAGGTGCATTTATTGGTTAAAAAAACAGAACAATTAGGTTTTAACTATGTAACTATTAACTATGTAACACCATTGTGTTACACACAATGGTGTTACACAGCCTTCCTGGCTTGGTGCTTTCTTTTGATAATTAATTATTGTTACACACAGCCAAATTGTGTAACAGGAAGAGGTCTGGGACACAGATTTGTTCCATGCTAAATGTAGAGGAATCAGCTGAGTATTCCTCAAATATAATAAGCTGCCTCAGCTTATAAGGTAAATACAATACAATACAATTTTATTTAGGTAAGGTACATACATACAATAAATTTTTACAAGGATTGGTAGACTTATAGGTAGACTAAAATACAATAAGCATTCCTCCAAAAAGTAGCTGCCTCACCAAATGGTGATAAATTGTTTGGATCCGTGTACAGCAACGCTATATTGGTAATCTAGAAAAATAAAGCAAAATTTTAATACAGCCTGTATGATGAACTATCTTGCTATTCCCTGCTTTCCCCTCCCATTTTTAATAGGCCATAATAGTCCATATAATCATAATTATAGCTTTAAGTATTCAATGAATAAAGTTTTTGAAGTTTTTACCCTTCTCTTTACCTAACATCATTTGTGCAGCATATTTTCTCTTTTATGCCTCACCCAGATATAATTTCAAAATAAAACCAAACAAAATAAATTAAAAATGGGTATGTATAGCTAAGGTACACCACCTAGTTATACTTATTGCCAGGTGAACAGGGGCATTTGGTGATAGTAAATGCTCCCACCAGCCTGGGCTCATCACCTTCTCTCATATTTCATGTTGACCAGTGTTTATTTACTTAATAACTACTGATATAATATCTTGCTATTATAATACTAATTCTAATATCACAAAAGACATATTTTCTGCAAGTTTCAAGCAGTGAATGCATATATAGCTAACACGAAGGACTCTTTGATGAGACTCGCTAGCAAAAATTTTTGTTTATAATAAAATCGATCCTCCAGTTTGTGTAGTAGAGAAAAATTGAGTTATATCGAGTTTATATAAAGCTACGAGTTGTCGAGAGTGCTCTTAGCGCGACGGTGTTTACTTAAGAAGATTTTCCTTCCTAAATGCCTACCTGAATACCGACGTAGTCGCTAAGAAGAAAAACGTTTGTAAGTACGTACGTAACTGCTTCGTGAAATTGGCCCCAGAGATTGGTAGGCAGGAAGTCGTGCCCTCAGTGTCCAGGACCAAGCTGGTGTAAACAGTCCCTGCTGGACTACCTCCCAGACATTGCAGGATGTCCTACGCTGCTTGAGCCACCCCAATGTCTTATAGTAACTGCCTAATTAGAAAGCATTAAACAGCCACCAATCTCTTGCATATTAATCGTACATATGATATAACTTTTTAGCTGCATTTTTTTTCGTTAATAAAACTTCTTACAATCTTCTATTAAGCAAATTAGAAGCCTACATAATGGTATACGGCCATACGGTTGACAGTATTTCGCCTTAACCGGCCCTCGATACCTATGTTTGGCATAGCCCTGTGTTCCTCCATCACTTAGGCCCACCTGAGTCATAACACCATCGTGTATGATGGCTCTCCCCTCACCTGTGATAGCTCCCATGGCTCCCCCCTCACCTGTGATAGCTCCCATGGCTCCCCCTCACCTGTGATGGCTCCCATGGCTCCCCCCTCACCTGTGATAGCTCCCATGGCTCCCCCCTCACCTGTGATAGCTCCCATGGCTCCCCCCTCACCTGTGATAGCTCCCATGGCTCCCCCTCACCTGTGATGGCTCCCATGGCTCCCCCCTCACCTGTGATAGCTCCCATGGCTCTCCCCTCACCTGTGATAGCTCCCATGGCTCCCCCCTCACCTGTGATAGCTCCCATGGCTCCCCCCTCACCTGTGATGGCTCCCATGGCTCCCCCCTCACCTGTGATAGCTCCCATGGCTCCCTCCCCTCACCTGTGATGGCTCCCATGGCTCCCCCCTCACCTGTGATAGCTCCCATGGCTCCCCCCTCACCTGTGATGGCTCCCATGGCTCCCCCCTCACCTGTGATAGCTCCCATGGCTCCCTCCCCTCACCTGTGATGGCTCCCATGGCTCCCCCCTCACCTGTGATAGCTCCCATGGCTCCCTCCCCTCACCTGTGATGGCTCCCATGGCTCCCCCCTCACCTGTGATAGCTCCCATGGCTCCCCCCTCACCTGTGATGGCTTCCATGGCTCCCCCCCCTCATCTGTGATGGCTCCCATGGCTCCCCCCTCACCTGTGATGGCTCCCATGGCTCTCCCCTCACCTGTGATGGTTCACCTGGCTCCCTCCTCTCACCTGTAATGGCTCACCTGGCTCCCTCCCCTCACCTGTGATGGCTCCCATGGCTCCCCCTCACCTGTGATGGCTCACCTGGCTCCCCCCTCACCTGTGATGGCTCACCTGGCTCCCTCCCCTCACCTGTGATGGCTCCCATGGCTCCCTCCCCTCACCTGTGACAGCTCCCATGGCTCCCCTCCTCACCTGTGATGGCTCTCATGGCTCCCCCCTCACCTGTGATAGCTCCCATGGCTCCCCTCCTCACCTGTGATGGCTCCCATGGCTCCCCCCTCACCTGTGATGGCTCCCATGGCTCCCCCCTCACCTGTGATGGCTCCCATGGCTCCCCCCTCACCTGTGATGGCTCCCATGGCTCCCCCCTCACCTGTGATGGCTCCCATGGCTCCCCCCTCACCTGTGATGGCTCCCATGGCTCCCCCCTCACCTGTGATGGCTCCCATGGCTCCCCCCTCACCTGTGATAGCTCCCATGGCTCCCCCCTCACCTGTGATGGCTCCCATGGCTCCCCCCCTCACCTGTGATGGCTCCCATGGCTCCCCCCTCACCTGTGATGGCTCCCATGGCTCCCCCCTCACCTGTGATGGCTCCCATGGCTCCCCCCTCACCTGTGATGGCTCCCATGGCTCCCCCTCACCTGTGATGGCTCCCATGGCTCCCCCCTCACCTGTGATAGCTCCCATGGCTCCCCCCTCACCTGTGATGGCTCCCATGGCTCCCCCCCTCACCTGTGATGGCTCCCATGGCTCCCTCCCCTCACCTGTGATGGCTCCCATGGCTCCCCCCTCACCTGTGATGGCTCCCATGGCTCCCCCCTCACCTCTGATGGCTCACCTGGCTCCCCCCTCACCTGTGATGGCTCCCATGGCTCCCCCCTCATCTGTGATGGCTCCCATGGCTCCCCCCTCACCTGTGATGGCTCCCATGGCTCCCCCCTCACCTGTGATGGCTCCCCCTCACCTGTGATGGCTCCCATGGCTCCCCCCTCACATGTGATGGCTCCCATGGCTCCCCCCTCACCTGTGATGGCTCCCATGGCTCCCCCCCTCACCTGTGATAGCTCCCATGGCTCCCCCCTCACCTGTGATGGCTCCCCTGGCTCCCCCCCCTCACCTGTGATGGCTCCCATGGCTCCCCCCTCACCTGTGATGGCTCCCATGGCTCCCCCCTCACCTGTGATGGCTCCCATGGCTCCCCCCTCACCTGTGAAGGCTCCCCCCTCACCTGTGATGGCTCCCCCCTCACCTGTGATGGCTCCCCGTCTCACCTGTGATGGCTGACCTACCCTCTCCCTCACCACAGAGCCACCAGCAGCAGGAGCAGTGATGGTGTGCGAGGCGCCACGCACCAGGACGCTACTGGTCAGTCGCCGCGGCGGGTTCCTGGAGGACCCGTTCTTCAGGGACGCCTGGGGGGACTACAATAACGCTGTCCGGAGGATCGTCGATAGGTACACCTCGGCCTACACTTCTCCTGTCTGGTACACTGTACTAATTGCACTTCTTATGTCTGGTACACTGCACTAACCACTTCTCGTGTCTGGAACACTGCATTAACTGCACTTCTCGTGTCTGGAACACTGCATTAACTGCACTTCTCGTGTCTGGAACACTGCACTAACTGCACTTCTCGTGTCTGGAACACTGCATTAACTGCACTTCTCGTGTCTGGAACACTGCACTAACCACTTCTCGTGTCTAGAACACTGCATTAAGTGCACTTCTCGTGTCTGGAACACTGCACTAACCACTTCTCGTGTCTAGAACACTGCATTAACTGCACTTCTCGTGTCTGGAACACTGCACTAACCACTTCTCGTGTCTAGAACACTGCATTAAGTGCACTTCTCGTGTCTGGAACACTGCACTAACCACTTCTCGTGTCTAGAACACTGCATTAACTGCACTTCTTGTGTCTGGTACTCTGCACTGTCTCCAGCACTTCTCCTAGCCTAATATTGAGAACTAATCACCTCTGCATGACTGGCTTGTAACTGTCATCAGCATGTTTCATGACACATTTAAAGCTGTCTGAATCAGTTATTTAGTGTGTGGGTAGGGGGAGGGAACTATCACGAGAAAGCGTCAAGCCATTACAACTTTATAGCATTGGGAAGGGGTCAGAATAAGGGTTTGGGATGCGACGGGGGGAAAGGAATGGTGCACAACCACTTGGACGGTCGGGGATTGAACGCGAACCTGCATGAAACATGACCGTTGCTCTACCCTAAGCCCAAGTGGGTAGTGGGTGACCTGTGTTGGCAGTACTAGTTTTCACTCAACTTTATTCATAAATCGGTGTACTTGTATTATCTTTGAACACCAGAGTTTAAAATGAACACTGAAACATGGTGTTCCAGTGTTCAAAAATAATAATATGGTTAGTTCATTTTAATTAAGAATTCGCCTCAGTCTGTAGCAGGTTGTGTGTACTCCGTCACTGGCAGTGTGCATTTGTTTACATCGGCCAAACTGGTAAACTGCTGTGGTCACGTTTACAACAACATCCTTACTCGATTCATTCAACACTCTAATGCATTGTATTTACATTCCAATGCATGTGATCATTCTATCGACTGGAGAGAAGCAAAATACATTGCTCAGTGTAAGGGTGAGTGAAATTTGCTTGAGTCAGCCTTGATCAACAAATGCACCAACACCTTTACTCTTACTCTTAACCTTGGCATGCACAAATTACATTCGAATATAAGCTTCAATATTTCACCTCAGTACATGATAAAATAAGCACCCCTGGTAGGTGGGGGTGTTCAAGTTTTTTTTCTTAATTTATCTTTCATGTAGCCCGTTTTCTGTAGAGCTTCCTTACCGTCGAAACATCAAACCTCTCTCAATGTTTACGGACGACGCCAAAATTATGAGAAGGGTTAAGAAAGAAGAGGACTGTTTGAGGCTTCAAAAAGACTTGGACAACTGAAGGAATGGTCCAACAAAGAGTTGTAAGAGTTTAACCCGAGCAAATGTAATGTAATGAAGATAGGTGTAGGGAGCAGGAGCCAGATTCACGAAAGCACTTACGCAAGCACTTACGAATGTGTACATCTTTCCTCAATCTTTGACGGGTTTGTTTACATTTATTAAACAGTTTACAAGTATGAAAACTTCCCAATCAACTGTTGTTATTGTTATAAACAGCCTCCTGGTGCTTCGGAGCTCATTAAATTTTTAATAATTGGAAACAAAGCCACCAAAGATTGAGAAAAGATGTACAGGTTTGTAAGTGCTTGCGTAAGTGCTTTCGTGAATCTGGCCCCAGGAGGCCAGATACGAGGTATCATTTGGGAGATGAAATACTTCAAAATCAGAGAGAGAAAAAAGCCTGGGGGTTGATATCACGCCAGACCTGTCCCCTGAAGCCCATATCAAGAGGATAACATCAGTGGCATGTGGCAAGCTGGCCAACATACGAACGGTCTTTAGAAACTTGTGTAAGGAATTATTTAGAACCCTTGTATACCACATATGTCAGACCTATCCTGGAGTATGCAACTGCAGCATGGAGTCCATATCTCGTCAAGCTTAAGACTAAATTGGAGAAGGTTCAGAGGTTTACCACCAGACTAGTACCCGAGCTGAGGAGCATAAACTATGAGGAGAGAATAAGGAAATTAAACCTCACGTCGCTGGAAGACATGAGATTTAGAATGGATCGACATGATCACAACATGCAAGATTCTCTAAGGAATTGATAGACAAAGACAGTTTATTTAACACAAGGGGCACACGCACCAGGGGACAGGTGGAAATTGAGTGCCCAAATGAGCCACAGAGATATTAGAAAGAACTTTTTCAGTGACAGTGTAGTTGACAAGTGGAATGCATTAGGCAGTGATGTGGTGGAGGCTGACTCCATACACAGTTTCAAGTGTAGATATGATAGAGCCCAATAGGCTCAGGAACCTGTACACCAGTTGATTGACAGTTGAGAGGCGGGACCAAAGAGCCAGAGCTCAACCCCCGCAAGCACAAATAGGTAGGTACCAGTTCACCCACAGTAACTGGTGGTGTTCACAGGGTTCACACACAGTAACTGGTGGTGTTGACAGGTTCACACACAGTAACTGGTGGTGTTCACAGGTTCACCCACAGTAACTGGTGGTGTTCACAGGTTCACACACAGTAACTGGTGGTGTTCACAGGTTCACACACAGTAACTGGGGGTGTTCACAGGTTCACACACAGTAACTGGTGGTGTTCACAGGTTCACACACAGTAACTGGTGGTGTTCACAGGTTCACACACAGTAACTGGGGGTGTTCACAGGTTCACACACAGTAACTGGTGGTGTTCACACACACAGTAACTGGTGGTGTTCACACACAGTAACTGGTGGTGTTCACACACACAGTAACTGGTGGTGTTCACACACAGTAACTGGTGGTGTTCACACACACAGTAACTGGTGGTGTTCACAGGTTCACACACAGTAACTGGTGGTGTTCACAGGTTCACACACAGTAACTGGTGGTGTTCACAGGTTCACACACAGTAACTGGTGGTGTTCACACACACAGTAACTGGTGGCGTTCACAGGTTCACACACACAGTAACTGGTGGTGTTCACAGGGTTCACACACACAGTAACTGGTGGTGTTCACAGGTTCACACACAGTAACTGGTGGTGTTCACAGGTTCACACACACAGTAACTGGTGGTGTTCACACACACAGTAACTGGTGGTGTTCACAGGTTCACACACAGTAACTGGTGGTGTTCACAGGTTCACACACACAGTAACTGGTGGTGTTCACAGGGTTCACACACACAGTAACTGGTGGTGTTCACAGGTTCACACACAGTAACTGGTGGTGTTCACAGGTTCACACACACAGTAACTGGTGGTATTCACAGGTTCACACACACAGTAACTGGTGGTGTTCACACACACAGTAACTGGGGGTGTTCACAGGTTCACACACACAGTAACTGGTGGTGTTCACAGGCTCAACCACATAGTAACTGGTGGTGTTCACAGGTTCACCCACAGTAACTGGTGGTGTTCACAGGTTCACACACAGTAACTGGTGGTGTTCACAGGTTCACACACAGTAACTGGTGGTGTTCACAGGTTCACCCACAGTAACTGGTGGTGTTCACCCACACAGTAACTAGTGGTGTTCACACACACAGTAACTGGTGGTGTTCACAGGTTCACCCACAGTAACTGGTGGTGTTCACAGGTTCACACACAGTAACTGCTGGTGTTCACAGGTTCACCCACAGTAACTGGTGGTGTTCACAGGTTCACCCACAGTAACTGGTGGTGTTCACAGGTTCACCCACAGTAACTGGTGGTGTTCACAGGTTCACCCACAGTAACTGGTGGTGTTCACAGGTTCACCCACAGTAACTGGTGGTGTTCACAGGTTCACACACAGTAACTGGTGGTGTTCACAGGTTCACCCACAGTAACTGGTGGTGTTCACCCACACAGTAACTGGTGGTGTTCACACACACAGTAACTGGTGGTGTTCACAGGTTCACCCACAGTAACTGGTGGTGTTCACAGGTTCACACACAGTAACTGCTGGTGTTCACAGGTTCACCCACAGTAACTGGTGGTGTTCACAGGTTCACCCACAGTAACTGGTGGTGTTCACAGGTTCAACCACACAGTAACTGGTGGTGTTCACAGGTTCACACACAGTAACTGCTGGTGTTCACAGGTTCACCCACAGTAACTGGTGGTGTTCACAGGTTCACACACAGTAACTGCTGGTGTTCACAGGTTCACCCACACAGTAACTGGTGGTGTTCACAGGTTCACCCACAGTAACTGGTGGTGTTCACACACAGTAACTGGTGGTGTTCACAGGTTCACACACAGTAACTGGTGGTGTTCACAGGTTCAACCACAGTAACTGGTGGTGTTCACAGGTTCACACACAGTAACTGCTGGTGTTCACAGGTTCAACCACATAGTAACTGGTGGTGTTCACCCACACAGTAACTGGTGGTGTTCACAGGTTCACCCACAGTAACTGGTGGTGTTCACACACACAGTAACTGGTGGTGTTCACACACACAGTAACTGGTTGTGATCACAGGTTCACACACAGTAACTGGTGGTGTTCACAGGTTCAACCACATAGTAACTGGTGGTGTTCACAGGTTCACCCACAGTAACTGGTGGTGTTCACAGGTTCACCCACAGTAACTGGTGGTGTTCACCCACACAGTAACTGGTGGTGTTCACAGGTTCACCCACAGTAACTGGTGGTGTTCACACACACAGTAACTGGTGGTGTTCACAGGTTCACACACAGTAACTGGTGGTGTTCACAGGTTCAACCACATAGTAACTGGTGGTGTTCACAGGTTCACCCACAGTAACTGGTGGTGTTCACCCACACAGTAACTGGTGGTGTTCACAGGTTCACCCACAGTAACTGGTGGTGTTCACACACACAGTAACTGGTGGTGTTCACAGGTTCACACACAGTAACTGGTGGTGTTCACAGGTTCACCCACACAGTAACTGGTGGTGTTCACAGGTTCACACACAGTAACTGGTGGTGTTCACAGGTTCACCCACACAGTAACTGGTGGTGTTCACAGGTTCACCCACAGTAACTGGTGGTGTTCACAGGTTCACCCACACAGTAACTGGTGGTGTTCACAGGTTCACCCACACAGTAACTGGTGGTGTTCACAGGTTCACCCACAGTAACTGGTGGTGTTCACAGGTTCACCCACACAGTAACTGGTGGTGTTCACAGGTTCACACACAGTAACTGGTGGTGTTCACAGGTTCAACCACATAGTAACTGGTGGTGTTCACAGGTTCACACACAGTAACTGGTGGTGTTCACAGGTTCACACACAGTAACTGGTGGTGTTCACAGGTTCACACACACAGTAACTGGTGGTGTTCACAGGTTCACACACACAGTAACTGGTGGTGTTCACAGGTTCACACACACAGTAACTGGTGGTGTTCACAGGTTCACCCACAGTAACTGGTGGTGTTCACAGGTTCACACACAGTAACTGGTGGTGTTCACAGGTTCAACCACATAGTAACTGGTGGTGTTCATAGGGTTCACACGCAGTAACTGGTGGTGTTCACAGGTTCACACACAGTAACTGGTGGTGTTCACAGGTTCACACACACAGTAACTGGTGGTGTTCACAGGTTCACACACACAGTAACTGGTGGTGTTCACAGGGTTCACACACACAGTAACTGGTGGTGTTCACAGGTTCACACACACAGTAACTGGTGGTGTTCACAGGTTCACACACACAGTAACTGGTGGTGTTCACAGGTTCACACACAGTAACTGGTGGTGTTCACAGGTTCACACACACAGTAACTGGTGGTGTTCACAGGTTCACACACAGTAACTGGTGGTGTTCACAGGTTCACCTACACAGTAACTGGTGGTGTTCACAGGTTCACCCACGCAGTAACTGGTGGTGTTCACAGGTTCACCTACACAGTAACTGGTGGTGTTCACAGGTTCACCCACGCAGTAACTGGTGGTGTTCACAGGTTCACCCACGCAGTAACTGGTGGTGTTCACAGGTTCACCCACGCAGTAACTGGTGGTGTTCACAGGTTCACACACAGTAACTGGTGGTGTTCACACACACAGTAACTGGTGGTGTTCACACCCACACAGTAACTGGTGGTGTTCACACACAGTAACTGGTGGTGTTCACAGGTTCACACACACAGTAACTGGTGGTGTTCACAGGTTCACACACAGTAACTGGTGGTGTTCACAGGTTCACACACACAGTAACTGGTGGTGTTCACAGGTTCACCCACAGTAACTGGTGGTGTTCACAGGTTCACACACAGTAACTGGTGGTGTTCACAGGTTCACACACACAGTAACTGGTGGTGTTCACAGGTTCACACACACAGTAACTGGTGGTGTTCACAGGGTTCACACACACAGTAACTGGTGGTGTTCACAGGTTCACACACAGTAACTGGTGGTGTTCACAGGTTCACACACACAGTAACTGGTGGTGTTCACAGGTTCACAGTAACTGGTGGTGTTCACAGGTCACACACACAGTAACTGGTGGTGTTCACAGGTTCACACACAGTAACTGGTGGTGTTCACACACACAGTAACTGGTGGTGTTCACAGGTTCACACACAGTAACTGGTGGTGTTCACAGGTTCACACACACAGTAACTGGTGGTGTTCACAGGGTTCACACACACAGTAACTGGTGGTGTTCACAGGTTCACACACAGTAACTGGTGGTGTTCACAGGTTCACCCCCACAGTAACTGGTGGTGTTCACAGGTTCACCCACAGTAACTGGTGGTGTTCACAGGTTCACACACACAGTAACTGGTGGTGATCACAGGTTCACCCCCACAGTAACTGGTGGTGTTCACAGGTTCACACACAGTAACTGGTGGTGTTCACAGGTTCACCCTCACAGTAACTGGTGGTGTTCACAGGTTCACACACACAGTAACTGGTGGTGTTCACAGGTCCACAAACACAGTAACTGGTGGTGTTCACAGGTTCACCCACAGTAACTGGTGGTGTTCACAGGTTCACCCACAGCAACTGGTGGTGTTCACAGGTTCAACCACATAGTAACTGGTGGTGTTCACAGGGTTCACACGCAGTAACTGGTGGTGTTCACAGGGTTCACACACAGTAACTGGTGGTGTTCACAGGTTCACACACAGTAACTGGTGGTGTTCACAGGTTCACACACAGTAACTGGTGGTGTTCACAGGTTCACACACAGTAACTGGTGGTGTTCACAGGTTCACCCACAGTAACTGGTGGTGTTCACACACACAGTAACTGGTGGTGTTCACAGGGTTCACACACAGTAACTGGTGGTGTTCACAGGGTTCACACACAGTAACTGGTGGTGTTCACAGGTTCACACACAGTAACTGGTGGTGTTCACAGGTTCACACACACAGTAACTGGTGGTGTTCACAGGTTCACACACAGTAACTGGTGGTGTTCACAGGTTCACACACAGTAACTGGTGGTGTTCACAGGTTCACCCACAGTAACTGGTGGTGTTCACAGGTTCACACACACAGTAACTGGTGGTGTTCACAGGTTCTCACACAGTAACTGGTGGTGTTCACAGGTTCACCCACAGTAACTGGTGGTGTTCACAGGTTCACACACAGTAACTGGTGGTGTTCACAGGTTCACCCACAGTAACTGGTGGTGTTCACAGGTTCACACACAGTAACTGGTGGTGTTCACAGGTTCACACACAGTAACTGGTGGTGTTCACAGGTTCACACACAGCAACTGGTGGTGTTCACAGGTTCACACACACAGTAACTGGTGGTGTTCACAGGTTCACACACAGCAACTGGTGGTGTTCACAGGTTCACCCACAGTAACTGGTGGTGTTCACAGGTTCACACACAGTAACTGGTGGTGTTCACAGGTTCACCCACAGTAACTGGTGGTGTTCACAGGTTCACACACAGTAACTGGTGGTGTTCACACACACAGTAACTGGTGGTGTTCACAGGTTCAACCATGGAGGGATGTTCGCCCCAAGAGACCGTCTGCGGGACTCCCACTACCACACCATGTACAGGACTCTGCGCTCTGCTCGCATCAACTACGCCGCGCAGGCAGCAGCCTTCAAGGACCAGGGCGATGTTTACAAGGTGAGTCGCGCCCCCTGGTGTTCTCATACACCATCCTGCCGGGTGTATGGTGTTCTGGCGTCGTGTATGGTGTTCTGGAGTCGTGTATGGTGTTCTGGCGTCGTGTATGGTGTTCTAGCGTGGTGTATGGTGTTCTGGCGTGGTGTATGGTGTGGTGTATGGTGTTCTGGCGTGGTGTATGGTGTTCTGGCGTGGTGTATGATGTTCTGGCGTGGTGTATGGTGTTCTAGCGTGGTGTATGGTGTTCTGGCGTGGTGTATGGTGTTCCTGCCGGGTGTATGGTGTTCTGGCGTGGTGTATGGTGTTCCTGCCGGGTGTATGGTGTTCTGGCGTGGAGTATGGTGCTCTGGCGTGGTGTATGGTGTTCTGGCGTGGTGTATGGTGTTCTGGAGTCGTGTATGGTGTTCTGGAGTCGTGTATGGTGTTCTGGCGTCGTGTATGGTGTGGTGTATGGTGTTCTGGCGTCGTGTATGGTGTTCTGGCGTGGTGTATGGTGTTCTGGCGTCGTGTATGGTGTGGTGTATGGTGTTCTGGCGTCGTGTATGGTGTTCTGGCGTGGTGTATGGTGTTCTGGCGTGGTGTATGGTGTTCTGGCGTGGTGTATGGTGTTCTGGCGTGGTGTATGGTGTTCTGGCGTGGTGTATGGTGCTCTGGCGTGGTGTATGGTGTTCCTGCCGGGTGTATGGTGTTCTGGCGTGGAGTATGGTGCTCTGGCGTGGTGTATGGTGTTCTGGCGTCGTGTATGGTGTTCTGGCCTCGTGTATGGTGTTCTGGCGTCGTGTATGGTGTTCTGGCGTCGTGTATGGTGTTCTGGCGTCGTGTATGGTGTTCTGGCGTGGTGTATGGTGTTTCTACCTGGTGCAAGGGGTTTTGGTGTGGTGTATAGTGTTCTAGCGTGGTGTATGGTGTTTTAGCGTGGTGTATGGTGTTCTGGCGTGGTGTACGGTGTTCTAGCGTGGTGTATGGTGTTCTGGCGTGGTGTATGGTGTTCTGGCGTGGTGTATGGTGTTCTGGCGTGGTGTATGGTGTTCTAGCGTGGTGTATGGTGTTCTAACGTGGTGTATGGTGTTCTGGCGTGGTGTTCGGTGTTCTAGCGTGGTGTATGGTGTTCTGGCGTGGTGTATGGTGTTCTGGCGTGGTGTATGGTGTTCTAGCGTGGTGTATGGTGTTCTAGCGTGGTGTATGGTGTTCTAGCGTGGTGTATGGTGTTCTGGCGTGGTGTTTGGTGTTCTAGCGTGGTGTATGGTGTTCTAGCGTGGTGTATGGTGTTCTAGCGTGGTGTATGGTGTTCTAGCGTGGTGTATGGTGTTCTGGCGTGGTGTATGGTGTTCTAGCATGGTGTATGGTGTTCTGGCGTGGTGTACGGTGTTCTAGCGTGGTGTATGGTGTTCTGGCGTGGTGTATGGTGTTCCTGCCGGGTGTATGGTGTTCTGGCGTGGAGTATGGTGCTCTGGCGTGGTGTATGGTGTTCTGGCGTGGTGTATGGTGTTCTGGAGTCGTGTATGATGTTCTGGAGTCGTGTATGGTGTTCTGGCGTCGTGTATGGTGTGGTGTATGGTGTTCTGGCGTCGTGTATGGTGTTCTGGCGTGGTGTATGGTGTTCTGGCGTCGTGTATGGTGTTCTGGCGTCGTGTATGGTGTGGTGTATGGTGTTCTGGCGTCGTGTATGGTGTTCTGGCGTCGTGTATGGTGTTCTGGCGTGGTGTATGGTGTTCTGGCGTGGTGTATGGTGTTCTGGCGTGGTGTATGGTGTTCTGGCGTGGTGTATGGTGCTCTGGCGTGGTGTATGGTGTTCCTGCCGGGTGTATGGTGTTCTGGCGTGGAGTATGGTGCTCTGGCGTGGTGTATGGTGTTCTGGCGTCGTGTATGGTGTTCTGGCGTCGTGTATGGTGTTCTGGCGTCGTGTATGGTGTTCTGGCGTCGTGTATGGTGTTCTGGCGTCGTGTATGGTGTTCTGGCGTGGTGTATGGTGTTTCTACCTGGTGCAAGGGGTTTTGGTGTGGTGTATAGTGTTCTAGCGTGGTGTATGGTGTTTTAGCGTGGTGTATGGTGTTCTGGCGTGGTGTACGGTGTTCTAGCGTGGTGTATGGTGTTCTGACGTGGTGTATGGTGTTCTGGCGTGGTGTATGGTGTTCTGGCGTGGTGTATGGTGTTCTGGCGTGGTGTACGGTGTTCTAGCGTGGTGTATGGTGTTCCGGCGTGGTGTATGGTGTTCTGGCGTGGTGTATGGTGTTCTAGCGTGGTGTATGGTGTTCTAGCGTGGTGTATGGTGTTCTAGCGTGGTGTATGGTGTTCTAGCGTGGTGTATGGTGTTCTAGCGTGGTGTATGGTGTTCTAGCGTGGTGTATGGTGTTCTGGCGTGGTGTTTGGTGTTCTAGCGTGGTGTATGGTGTTCTAGCGTGGTGTATGGTGTTCTAGCGTGGTGTATGGTGTTCTAGCGTGGTGTATGGTGTTCTGGCGTGGTGTATGGTGTTCTAGCATGGTGTATGGTGTTCTGGCGTGGTGTACGGTGTTCTAGCGTGGTGTATGGTGTTCTGGCGTGGTGTTTGGTGTTCTAGCGTGGTGTATGGTGTTCTAGCGTGGTGTATGGTGTTCTAGCATGGTGTATAGTGTTCTAGCGTGGTGTATGGTGTTCTAGCGTGTTGTATGGTGTTCTAGCGTAGTGTATGGTGTTCTGGCGTGGTGTATGGTGTTCTAGCATGGTGTATGGTGTTCTAGCGTGGTGTATGGTGTTCTAGCGTGGTGTATGGTGTTATAGCGTGGTGTATGGTGTTTTAGCGTGGTGTATGGTGTTTTAGCGTGGTGTATGGTGTTCTAGCGTGGTGTATGGTGTTCTGGCGTGGTGTACGGTGTTCTAGCGTGGTGTATGGTGTTCTAGCGTGGTGTATGGTGTTCTAGCGTGGTGTATGGTGTTCCTACCTGGTAAATGGTGTTCTAGCGTGGTGTATGGTGTTCCTACCTGGTAAATGGTGTTCTAGCGTGGTGTATGGTGTTCCTACCTGGTAAATGGTGTTTTACCGTGGTGTATGGTGTTCTAGCGTGGTGTATGGTGTTCCTGCCTGGTTTATGGTGTTCTAGCGTAGTGTATGGTGTTCTATCGTAGTGTTTGGTGTTCTAGCGTGGTGTATGGTGTTCTAGCGTGGTGTATGGTGTTCTAGCGTGGTGTATGGTGTTCTAGCGTGGTGTATTGTGTTCTGGCGTTGTGTAGGGTGCTCTAGCGTGGTGTATGGTGTTCTAGCGTGGTGTATGGTGTTCTTACGTGGTGTATGGTGTTCTGGCGTGGTGTATGGTGTTTTAGCGTGGTGTATGGAGTTCTGGCGTGGTGTATGGTGTTCTAGCGTGGTGTATGGTGTTCCTACCTGGTAAATGGTGTTCTAGCGTGGTGTATGGTGTTCCTACCTGGTAAATGGTGTTTTAGCGTGGTGTATGGTGTTCTAGCGTGGTGTATGGTGTTCCTGCCTGGTTTATGGTGTTCTAGCGTAGTGTATGGTGTTCTATCGTAGTGTTTGGTGTTCTAGCGTGGTGTATGGTGTTCTAGCGTGGTGTATGGTGTTCTAGCGTGGTGTATGGTGTTCCTACCTGGTAAATGGTGTTCTAGCGTGGTGTATGGTGTTCTAGCGTGGTGTATGGTGTTCTAGCGTGGTGTATGGTGTTCCTACCTGGTAAATGGTGTTCTAGCGTGGTGTATGGTGTTCCTACCTGGTAAATGGTGTTTTAGCGTGGTGTATGGTGTTCCTGCCTGGTTTATGGTGTTCTAGCGTAGTGTATGGTGTTCTATCGTAGTGTATGGTGTTCTATCGTAGTGTTTGGTGTTCTAGCGTGGTGTATGGTGTTCTAGCGTGGTGTATGGTGTTCTAGCGTGGTGTATTGTGTTCTGGCGTTGTGTAGGGTGCTCTAGCGTGGTGTATGGTGTTCTAGCGTGGTGTATGGTGTTCTTACGTTGTGTATGGTGTTCTGGCGTGGTGTATAGTGTTCTGGCGTGGTGTATGGTGTTCTGGCGTGGTGTATGGTGTTTTAGCGTGGTGTATGGAGTTCTGGCGTGGTGTATGGTGTTCTAGCGTGGTGTATGGTGTTCTATAGCGTGGTGTATGGTTTTCTGGCGTGGTGTATGGTGTACTGACGTGGTGTATGGTGTTCGTACGTGGTGTATGGTGTTCTGGCGTGGTGTATAGTGATCTGGCGTGGTGTATGGTGTTCTGGCGTGGTGTATAGTGTTCTGGCGTGGTTTATGGTGTTCTGATGTGGTGTATGGTGTTCTGGCGCGGTGTATAGTGTTCTGGCGTGGTTTATGGTGTTCTGATGTGGTGTATGGTGTTCTAGCGTGGTGTATGGTGTTATGGCGTTGTGTATGGTGTTCTGGCGTGGTGTATGGTGTTCTTACGTGGTGTATGGTGTTCTGGCGTGGTGTATAGTGTTCTGGCGTGGTGTATGGTGTTCTGGCGTGGTGTATAGTGTTCTGGCGTGGTGTATGGTGTTCTGGCGTGGAGTATGGTCCTCTGGCGTGGTGTATGGTGTTCTTGCGTCGTGTATGGTGTTCTGGCGTGGTGTATGGTGTTCTGGCGTGGTGTATGGTCCTCTGGCGTAGTGTATGGTGTTCTTGCGTCGTGTATGGTGTTCTGGCGTGGTGTATGGTGTTCTGGCGTGGTGTATGGTGTTCTGGCGTGGTGTATGGTGTTCTGGCGTGGTGTATGGTGCTCTGGCGTGGTGTATGGTGTTCCTGCCGGGTGTATGGTGTTCTAGCGTGGAGTATGGTGCTCTGGCGTGGTGTATTGTGTTCTGGCGTCGTGTATGGTGTTCTGGCGTCGTGTATGGTGTTCTGGCGTCGTGTATGGTGTTCTGGCGTCGTGTATGGTGTTCTGGCGTGGTGTATGGTGTTCTGGCGTCGTGTATGGGGTTTTGGTGTGGTGTATGGTGTTCTAGCGTGGTGTATGGTGTTTTAGCGTGGTGTATGGTGTTCTGGCGTGGTGTACGGTGTTCTAGCGTGGTGTATGGTGTTCTGG